AAGGTACATATATTAGTTGAGTGTTATCATCAATAGTATCACTGTCAGTGTCACAGTATCTATGATAATACATTATGTGTTAGTGTAGGTTGGGTTGGGTAGCTAATCTTGCTAGCCAGACCATTCCCCAGCCTACAGTCATTGGGATGGACGGTAGGGAAGGGTCTGGTACAATGGCCTAAGATGTCTTGTCCTGCGTCCAGAATTATACGTAGCCAATCAGATTCGGTTATCCTTGACATGTGATCACAAGTCGCATTGAAAACTGATCATCAAAATGGCAAGTTTTGAGCTGAAAAACTATCTATAGAATGATAGTACCAAGCATCTCTTTGATCCTGAAGAAGTATATTAGGGAAATGCATCTAGGTAATATACAACAAGTTGGTCTGGATGCCATAAAACATGCATTTCGGTTGAATTTTAATATTGTTTCATATAGATAGTATTTTGTCATTGAATTGCACCTTTCCCTTTCTTTTTCTACTTATTGTAATGTTTAATTATTAATAAAACATTTTGAATAAACAAAAATATATAAAACAGAATGATAATGACAAATTTGTAATACACTGACTGTATGTTGACCTTTGGAAATCATAGATTAGCATATTATACCTGTATCCAGGACTTACATTGTTGATGCACTCTAACACATTTACTGCTTTAAGCTGATCTTTTGGGTATGTAAGTATGGCAAAGGAATCTAATGTTCCAATACTTTCTTTCTTCCCTTTCTGTCCTCCAGAATGCAATGTGAGAGTCCATTGGGCTTGTTTAAGTTGGATCAATGTTGTTGCTCCATTATACACTCATGGAAACACGTGTGTCGGGCACAGTCTTTTACATGTGACATCTTCATGACATCACTATTCACGTGACGTGGGTGCTGTTGGAACAAAACTACTTTATACAATGTACCCTTCCCTGCCGTCCACCCAAATGACTGTAATCCAAATGACCACCCTGATGTCTACCCAAATGACCCAACCAAATGGTTGAGTAGCCGAAATTAAATATCTCCTTTTTTGGTATTGAGCCAATTGCTTGCATAGTAGCAGTCACACTACTGATATAGTAGATGAATATCATTATCAAGCAATGAATATCATTACATACAAATTCCAGTCTCAGTAGTGAATATCTTAACTCATTTGCTTTTGATAGCTGTATAAAAATTTGATTAAGAAAATGCAATGTGAGATATCTCACAATAAATTTCCTAGCATACTGTCCCACATAATCAGCACATAATTTGTTTTTGTATTTTTTGTTATTTTATTTATAACTATCTTTATTTTTTCAGAAAAAAGTATCACTCCAGAAACAGATGAGGTAGCTATGTCACCAGGAAGCACTGACAGAGCAACAGGTAATGATATTGCCTCATTTTAATACAACTATTAATGTTAACTATTCATCAATTTAGGTACATCCAAATATGGTTATTCTGAAAAGAGCTTTGAATTAACTAGCAAGTTATATGATCTACAAGATGAATTTGATGAGGCAATCAGAATAACACAAAAATCCTTCCAATTAAGTGATCTACCTGAAATCATTGAATACCTCAATAGACACACAATGTCATTACTTGGGCCTAACAAAAAACAGCAAATAACTGCTGAAGCAATTAGAGAAGAGTTTAAATATATTCAAACATTATCAGATTTATTTGCTGTACTACAAGACAAATACATATCTTGGTTCAACTATAAACTTATGATAAAACTTGTTGAAGTATTTCTACCCAAAAATCGTTTGTTAAAGAGGACTTGGTCGTCATATGAAGAGAAGTTAAAGGATTATTTTATAAACAGTGGTGGACTATTGAAAGATGCTGATGCTGTACAGTTTGGTGTAAAAGGTGTTCCTCCTGGTACACGAGTAATGATTGCTAAAGTTGACAGAGATGACTACACACTGGATGACATATTCTTCTTTCGTAGAGCAATACCAAAAGGTTTGGATATTCCAGAATATGATCTTTACTTCAGTTTCGTCTATGATGGTTCTCTCTGTTTGGGTTACCTCATTCCTGAGTATCTTTATTCTTTATTATTTCCTCTAACTACAAAGCTACAGCAACAGTTAGCTAGTATTGGTATCACTGAACTAACATGTGGTGAAGATAAATATGATCTAAGAAAGGTTTGTGATTATTGAATTGATAATTTGATTTTATTATTTTTAATTTTACAGTTATCAATAGAAGAGGTTAAGCACTCATCCACTGATATTGGTAAGTACATGAACTGACCTTTAGTCAATCCCTCCATACATAACTTGTATTACTAATAATATTCTTCATTTATAGATATATGTGATCCATTATGGTATGAGAATACCAGTACACCATTACATGAAGCAGCTTGGAGAGGATTAAAAGATGAAGTACAATGGCTTCTTAACAAGTTTGGCTCCAGGACATATCATCGTGGTCTTCATGGTTGGACTCCATTACACTCTGCATCATATGGTGGACACATTGAGATCCTTCAACTACTCATCCATCAATATGGTATTGATCCTAATGAAGGTGATGATAATAGTGTATCTAGTATACATATGGCATCTTATAAAGGCCACTTATCTATAGTACAATATCTAGTAGACACGTGTGACGTTCCTCCTGATCAACCAGACAATAGCAATAACACTGCATTACTGTACTCAGCAATGGGGGGCCATTCTGACCTAGTGGAATTTTTTATTGAGATAAATTGTAATACTTCTCAGATTAATTATTATAGTGAGTCTTTATCATTGTTAGCTTGTAAAAGTGGAGAGTTAGCATTAGTCCACAAGCTTGAATCATTAAACCTCTTCTCACCTCATGACACAACAAATTCAGGGCGTGGTATACTACATTATACTTGTTGCTCTATGAATAATAAAAGTGTTGAGCTTTTTAAGTATCTTTTAAATCAATATCAATTATCCATTGATGTAAAGGATCGATACGATAAGACTCCACTTCATATTGCTTCATGGTTTGCTTCATCATCAGTTGTTGAGTATATTGTTAGTATTCAAGGTAATGAAGCATTATTAGTTAATGATAATAATGGTGGTAGGTCATGTTTATATTTTGCATGTTATGCAACTATACATATTCCAGCTGGTATTGTGTATTATAAGCTTATGACACAAAGTGATGCATCAGGTATTGATATTATTAATAATACTAGAATTAAAACAAATATTGATTTTATCAAACGAAATGAAAGAGTTAAAATGTTTTCTTCACTTCTCAAGAAAGCTAGCACTTGCCCTAACTTTGACATCAATGCCACTACAAATGATGGTCAGTCATTACTTCATTGGGCATCACGCAGTGGCAGTACATTACTAGTGAAAGCATTGGAAGAATATAATATCAATTGTACATTAACTAATGATGGTAAGTCTCCAGTACATTATGCTGCCTGGTCAG